TCCTGCAATTGCGTACGTAATGCTTGCAATACGTGAAATGATTACTTAAAAACGCATTGCATTGAGTTTTACATTTCGTCAGCCTTTGTTGATGTAAATTAAGAGTGGGAGTCGTTGAATAGGTCAGAGGGGGGTCGATGCAAGATGAGGAGGGGTAAAACTTGAGGGAGCAAAGTCTTTTGACCCTTTTTTTAAAAAGTTTTTCTGTTCTTGTTTTTTTTTTGTAAATCGAGCCTATGAGTCATGTGTTTCTGCCTGTGAGACTTACTATCGTGGCTATTGATTGGTTCATCCTTGATGTAGAGTGGCATCAAGGACATTGATTGCTTGCTCGTAAAAGAGACTTGCAATTTTTTGTCTAGATGCCTGTTCTCACACACAGCATTAGACTTACATCAGGTCCAATGACGTATCGTGTAGTTTAATGTGAAAAATGAGCCTCTGATGATTTGGGTTGAATGAAGCTTAATTACAAGCGTCTAACCCTAACCCTAAATTGTGGTTCTTTTTCGTGCTCAGGTGTGTGGTAAAGAACGTTTTTGCCTCTATCTCGGACTGTTCTGATTCAAAGCCTGAATGTGAGCAGTAATGGAATGAAAACACGATTGATTCATTTCCTTGGTTGAAATTAAACTTGATATGATTAACTATGAAAGAAGAACCATCAAAAAATTTGCTTTCTCAGTTTAATCTCTCCTTTATCTTGCATCAGCTTCTCTCTTACCTGTCCATCGACTTCCATCTTTAGTTTACATCGAGAAAGAGCAAACGCAACGTAGAACTTAATGTTGTGTGATTTTACTTAATCATTTTACGTAACGTAGGCTTTATGTGAGCCTTTTTGAAAGTTTTTCTGACTAATTTCCATCAGAGAAAGTGAATTTGATATCATGAAACTTTAATTTAAACAGCAAATTTTAATTAAGAATTAAATTTATTTTGATTTTACTAATTCGTTTTTAAAATTGCCATATATTTTAGGTTCATTAAGGAGCAGCACTTATAGCCATCATAAAACATTTCATATGTTGTGTTATTTTCTTCACATTTGAACAATTACTCATCGTTCACACACAAGTAAGCACATAGTATGAATATTTGATACAAATTGGATTTATATAGACTTTTTTAACTGACAAACTACAGATGAATTGTCTTGACGATGTCTTATTGTCTTGATGATGTCTTATTGTCTTGACGATGGTCAATCTGATTGATAATATATTATATAATATATCGTATAAATTTTGGCAAGTTAAAAGACTGTTAAATGATTGTCCAATAATGGACTTTAACTGGCTTTGTTCACTCGGGTAATTAATTATGTAATTAGACAGGATTAGACGCTTTCAAGAAGAATATGAACTAGACAGTGGAAAAGTATAGAAACGAGCAATAATCAGATGCGAAATCAAATAGAACGGCTTCAACAAGATTTCAAGAAATTTGATGCTACTCATGAAACAAGCTTAAGCAGGAAAACATGCAGAAATTGATGAACTGGAACAGCAATCAAATCAACAGCTACAAAAGATTGAATCTGAAAAAAATACAGAAGAGAAAATTTAAAAATTTAATTCGAATCGCAAACATTACACTACGTTAGAAGTTCACAGAATTTTGGCAGAATTAGGATAAGCAGTGTCATCGATTGACACCGAAAAGATCAAGAAACTGTATAGAAGTATAAGAAGGCATTGCTGAGTCCTGATGAAAATATTTTATAAAATCATCCAAGACTTCACTCAGGTTTAAGGTAACACGTTCAAAATAGTTTTAATTTAATTTTCGTGGACATAAAAGGAGAAAATGCCCCACCGTCCTGCCCAATTTTTTTTCAGCGCTTCGAGTGTTGACATTTTCCTATATTGAATCCCGTTCCCGTTCCCATATTCCTGAAAATCTGTCGGGAATGTTCCCGAAATTCCCGTTTTCATACCAAAAAAACCGACAATTCAAATTAGTTTTTTTTTTATTTTGTATTTTCCATGAAAAAAACTACAATTTAAAGAAAAAAATTATAACAATGAAAACATACGTTAAGGAATTTAAGAGTTGAAATATTAAACTCAAATTTGATGTTTTTTAAATCAAAAACATATATTTATGAAAAACGAAGAGAAAAAGTATTTAAAAATATTTCCATAAAACCATGTCCATAAAACAATAAACTTAATTGACATTGGATTAAAGTAATTTTTCCAAAATAAAAAAAACGTGCTTGAAATTAATATTTCTGGAATCCACCAACATCTACAAGAGCTGAACGTAACTTTTCAATCTCCAATAATATTGTCTCAAAAAATCGCAGTAGATTGCTAGACCAGTTAAAATCGTACTTTAAGAATTGTTCTAAAACCAAAAAGAATTGAATTTCAAACGGAAATTATTGTCAAAAGAATCAATTTGACAATCAAATCAAATAGAATTTAAATTTGATTTAAAAACCTAAATAAAAAACATGGTGTAAGTGTAGCTTTTAACTTTTTTTTTTGTTGATTCCCGGGAATATTCCCGTTCCTGATTCCCGAAATCTTACGGGAACGGGAATTCTGGAACCCCTAGATGGGATCATATTAATCATCATATGAATGACAGATTTAGAGAGATTTACTTTTAAACTTATGATTGATTTAATTTTGAAAATTTCCACAAATTATGATTGTATTTTAAAGTCTTGTAAACCAGTTTTCTATTAAAAGATTTATATTTATATTACAAAATATTAAAAGCATCCAAAATCCACTTTGTAAAACTTTTCAAAAGTCCTTCGAATCCCTCCATTTCGTTAGCCATTTCAAGTTCATGTGTCCGTTGATAAAAATCTATCCATAACTATAATAAAAAACCAATAAATCATTTTATTATTTTTAAATTGAGAAAAATTTATAACAGAAGCATCTTCCAAACATCTGTCCTCAATCGTTTTAAAATAATCTTTTTAAAAAAGAAAGAAGAAAAGAATGTCAAAATCAATGAGCCATATATGTTGTCTGGTTATGTATGCTGAATCATGATCTCATTAAATTTCTCTCAAGCACGTGTTAAGAAGAGCTTCTTTTTTGTTCTACACGATTAGAGACACTATCTGTGGTTTTTAATTTAATTAAATTCTATACATAAAATTGGTTTTTTTTTCCTTTCTTCGACCGAAGTGGACGGTTGTCATGTGGGAGAAATTGGAGAAAAATTAAAAGATTTTCCTTTTCTTTTTCTTAACAAAATAAAAGACTTTATTCTTCTTTCAATATTTAGCGTAGTTTTTGGAGGAAATGTGTGATGGTGTCTGCGGTATGGGTGAGAGAAGAGCGCATTAACCTGATCTACAAAGAGCTTTGAGGTTCAAATTTATATCTTTGTATCTTAAAGTATGTTTAGTAACCAGAAATTTGAAAAAGAAGTTTTAAGCAATCTAAGTTTGTATGGACTAGCTTAAAACTTACTTTTACCGATCGTGGCTATTAGAAATGATTAAATAAGTCATAGAATCCTGTTAAGTCTAAAGATACACTGTCTTTGGTTAAAGTTCTTTTTAATAATTAAACTACTGATTGAAGATATCCTTGAATTTCAAAAATCAAAAACTCAATGCCAATAAATCCACACACTACAAAATTCGCCTTAGTCATTCCCAAAACTTCATCGCAAACAATTTTTTTTTCGGTAAAATCTCTACGAACCAAGGGCATAATTTTCCATTATAGTATTATTTCCTTTAGAATCATTTTTCTTTCGAGCATACAATGAAAATAGGAGATATTGTTGAGATCAGTTAAAATAAGTCCTTGGAGAGAAATTCCTTCACTTAAATGAAATGAAGACTCTGTAATAGATTTAAAGACAAAAAAAAGGCATCTGCGGAGTATGAGGACGAAGATTCTTAAAAATAGTCAATAAAACTGCAAAATCACACATCTATTTGTGAGAAGTGCTTGAATTGATTTTTTTTCCATGATGAATGAGTCGAATAATACTTGTAGAAAATCTTTGTGGAATAGTTCTTTTTTCCCATGACGACATCGTCTAAAATTTGCATCAGCAATAAAAAGCACAAAAGATTTGACTAAATGACAGTCCGTTGGAAGAAAGGAAACCGACCGACATTCATCTTTATCAATAAGTGACTATTACCATACTCGATTACGCACAAAGATTTATCCTTGATACTTTTTTTTTTTGTTGATTCTTCGATTTGTCCTTAATCTCGATGAACTATAATTATTGGAGTATTGTAATGCAGAGAATTGATGTCCATGATTTATATAAAAGGACAGATTGGATGAAATTGATGTAGAATAATAAATTTTGGAGAATGGACGACAAATGAATGCTGTGGCTTGTTAATTTTTGACAGACAAAAACGTTGGCTTTTATATCAGTGTCAGTTTATAGCTGTGCAAATATACGATTCTAAACTGTTAAACATCTGCACTTGAAATAAGAGATGAGATTTTAGTGAATTTCAATCCATACCTTTGGATTTAGTCTTGATCACTCACGTTTCCATTACATGGTTATGTTCTTTAAAGCTTTATCATTAAGCCACTGCATCAATAAACCTTCGCTTTATAATGTTTTAGAGACTGTAATTTTAAATTAAGCATAACAAGTGCAAATTAAGTAAATACAAGATAATCGAGGGTTCAATTCCCAAATATTCTGAAAATACGTTAAATCTGTTAAATCTATAAAATATGAATTCGTGGCAAATTTCTTAACATCTTATCCCAAAGAAAAAGTCACTCGTTCCTCTTATGGACACTGCGTTTATTTATTTAAAAAACATCTTGTAATTCATATTCAGACTGGCCGTAATAGTTCATATTCGGGAAATAAATTACTGAAAATTATTTTGTGACAAAGACATTCGCGTTTTTAAAACCATAAAAAATATTGAAAAGCAAACGATCCATTTGATACAAATAGGTAAAATTGAATAATTTCGTAGAAAAAAAAATAATATAATTAACGAAAAAGATTAAAAGATTGATTTATATCTCCTATTGCGAGCCGCATGTTATTATATTATGATTATGCTGTTTAGCAATGCATTTCTTGTGACTTATGTTATTGATGATATAAGTTTCTTCTTTTATTAATTATTCATAATTTATTATTTCGTCAAGGTAAACGGGATTCGTTGATAATCGCTTCAACTTTTATTTACCATCTTTTGGTTTTGACTCTTTCTGCTTAACTTTTTCAGCTAGTGCCTTTGCATCTCTGAAAGAAAAGAAAGATATTATGTGATATTAAGTTATTGTAATCAGAGACAATAATGTTCAAAAGATTTATTTGGACATAAACCAAATTTAGGCATATTGTGTACTTGAAGGTCTTTTGATGTACCGGTATTGAGTCTAAACAAACCAAAGATGAGATTGTCGACATAAACTGTATTACTGAACAATTTCTGAATCTTTCATGGCTGTTTAATATCAAATTTGTTGTATATCTTGAAATTTGAGTAGGTTCTACATACAACTGTCAATTTGACTATTTCATACCGTACATTTAAACTGTCTCTTTAAAAACTTGCTGATTTTGAATTGTTTTGCACATCCGATCAAATGAAAAACACCGAGAATCGTCAACATAGCGGTTTTTACCTGCCTAAAGTAATTGACAAGTGATTGAGGCTCTTTTAAACTCTCAACAAACTAATCTTCAAGGTCTTTTATAAATTATCCAACTGAAGATCTCACAGGCAATTCTACTCATGGCTGTCTTGTAATATTTCGGTTGAAGTTGTTACACCGGACATCCACAAATCAATTGTAATTACATCATTAATAATGACTTTCAAAAGTCAATCATCGAGTATGATGATACAAAAAGTAAATTTAGACAACTATAGTAATACGTAATGAGTATATTTAACTGAATAGCTGATCATTCCACTCCGTAACTGTTCAATTGTGGATCTTGAATAAATCATTTTGAATATGTCCTTGTAAATCTTCATTAACTCACCTTTCACGTCTTTGTTGTGGTGTTAATCCATCGTCTACTTTTTTACCTTGCTCTTGACTTTTCTTCTGATTTTTAGCTCTAGCTAAATCGCGCTGATTGCCACCTGAACAGTAAATATAAATGAGAATAATTTTTAAACACGATATTTCTAGAAGTTTTCAATTTCTCGCGAATTTCTCCATATTGATCGTAAAGTTATACTCTATTTAATACTTACGAGTCATGTTTGCAGTTTAAACACCAACCAGAGCTGATTTATTAAGTAAACTAGTCAGAAATTAATTATTCAATGATTTTTGATAACACAAACAAAAGTTTTTGTGATCATTGACTCGGATTGTTCAATCGTCATTTTTGTTTGGATCAAATTCAAAATATTATTTTCCGTTATTTTAAACCGGTACATTATCGGCTCTTGCATTCGTGGAATTGACCATAAAAAGAACGCGCTATATTTTCCGAAATATTTTTCTTGTAAAAGTTTGTTAATTATAGTTTAAATCGACAAGAAAGCAACTGATTAACATTTATCCATTACTATGGCACGCAAGAAAGAAGTTACAAAGGATAGTGAAAGTGATTCCGATGTTGAAGGTATGAAAATTCAATTATTTGGTATTTGTTTATCCATTAAATCTTTATGAAAAAAAAAAAACATTTCAGATGTTAAGAAAATAAAGGATGTGAAGAAGGCTAAACAAGATTCCAGTGACGAGGAAGACGATGATGTAGAAAGCGAGGAAGAAGAAATGATTTACAGTAAGTACTTAAAAATTATTAATTATATTCACTGGATCTTATAATTCGTGCCTTTTTCAGATGAATATACAAATCCAACAGATCACCTTAAAATCGAAACAAAGTTCCCATTAGAATTAAAGCTTCAGCTTCTCGCTGAAATCAAAAACATCAACAAAAGAAAAACTTCGTCCTATAAAGTAGCAATGAAGCACTTTGATTGGTCACAAATTTCTATTGAAGGGCATACAATTGAGGAATGTAAGGCATGTCTTGATGAGATCCTTAAGCCAATTTGCTCGATAAGAACATTAGACGAAATGCTGACTGACTATGAGCAGCATCATCAGAAATATGACTTAAAAATGCATCCGGATGCACCAAAAATACCTCGAAATGCTGTTATGCGATTTATTGATGATAACCGCGATAAGTTTAAGAAGGCATTAATTAAGGAGTTTCCAGGCACTCAAATTGGTTTGGTATGTATTGATATTCATCTCTTATTCAAGTTCCTAGATCTTAATTCGAGTTTACTGGACGTTTTTAATATTCACTGGATCACGTCTTATGACAATAGCTATGCTAAATGCTAACATGCAACTTTTATTTTACAGAAAGAAATAAGCTCGTATGGTGCTAAAAAGTTCAACGAACTTCCAGCAACAAAGCAGGAACAGTACAAAGCACAGTACAAAGTCGAACTAAAAGCATATGCTGAAAAGAAAGCAGAATTATTGAGAAATTGTCCAGAATTGGTTAAAAAGCGGGCAGTAAGAATAAGAACAACAAAAGACAAGAAAGTTCGCGAAAGAAAGGGAAAACCAGAACTGCCATACGTTACACCATTCATGATTTATCGTGAAGAGCTTGCAAAAGAAGGTAAAACAATCACTTATCATGATGCACAGCAATTATACAAGAACATGCCGGATGAGGAAAAGATTAAGCATATTCAGACATTATTGGCACTTGACACGCATTTAGATAAGCAATTTTCATCGCAAGAACAGAAAATATTGAAAAATCCAAATGGAATGCCAGCACGTCCATTAAATGCTTACAATTTCTTCCTTAAAGATTTATGCAAAGACACGAGCATTGATCGTAAGGAAATATTGAAAACTAGCTCAATTCTATGGAAAACGATAGATCCAGAGAAGAAAGCTGTGTATATTGCTAAATATCAAAATGAAGTTGAAGCTTGGCAGGAAAAGATGAAACTTTGGATCCAAACATTACCAGTTGAACAACAATCCGAACAAATGGCAAAGCATGGATTTTTATCGAAACTTGAGTCAACCAAGAAGCGCAAAAGGAACGACGAGTCGCTAATGTCACTTCAAAATCCACCATTAATTGAATCGGACCCAAAAAAGCGTAAAAAACAAACAACTTTGGATAATATTGTGACTATCAAGAAAGAGGAACCAAAAGAAAAGTCAGTGATTAATATAATCCCAGCAAGTCCAACAAAACAGTCGAAAGTAAGCAATGCACAAATTGCTAATGTTTCGTCATTGAGTAAAACTGTGGATATTGACACACCAACGAAGAAGAAGAAGAAAGGTTTTGAGTCTGACGCATCCAGCATCGATTCCACGCCCAGAAAAAAGAAATTTAAGGAAACTGTTGAGTCATTTGGTTCATATCCATCATTAAATGCTGCTCATTACTTTATGACACAAAAGTACACCGGAAAGCCTTCCAAAGTAGCAAAAGCATACAGTAAATTGTCAAAACATGAGAAGAAGCAGATTAATGCTGAAATGAAGAAAATTAAGAATGATTATTTCTTAAAATTAAAGAAATTTGCTACGGAAAATACAAATTATGCTGATAAGGTCCGAAATTTCCACACAAGTAATCGTCAAGAGCAGGAACAAAGCATTTCATGGCATACCGCAAAAGGAACGGATAATAGCGATGACAGTGATGATGATAGTGACCAATCTGACAGTTCATAAATGCTGTAGCTAGGTTGCAGACATACGGTTTATAATATGTTAAAACTTTTTCACTACACAGTTAATTAAGCTTTTCATAAATTTTCTCCTTTTTTTTGACAATTTCTTCTATTGTTTATCATTTACCTATATTGAAAAATGTAAAATTCATATGAAAAGTTAATAAAATATTTTTTGAAATAAAATTTGAATTTTTAACGGATATATAAATTTTGAATTGAAACCGCAATTTCAAATTTGAATGAATCGGTTACTTTTAAATACTTTCACACCCTTTATCCAGATGAATTTAAAATGACAGTTAAAAATAACCGATTCATTCAAATCTTTAATATACGTTACAAATCGATATTTAGCTATATTAATTAAAGAACTGATTTTAGCTTTTCAAATTTATTAATTATCAATTTTTTGGAAGTGTTGCTTGGAATAATTTGCTCTGAATGTATACATTTTATCAGTTAAAGTTTGCGTTGTGCAAGAAGGAATATTACAGACGTTAAAGGACATCGAAGCAATAGTCATAATCATCTTAAATATATTTTATATATGGGATAAATAAATGCATAATATTGGTTTTTAAGCATGAAAGACTTTAATTTAGTGTAGTGGAGACGACAATCGAGACAACTGATTAGTATTCTTATTATTTGATTCATTCTTGCACTCAATAATCTCGTCAACTTGTCTTTTCAACTGATCCTGTAGTGCTAAAAGCTCACGAGTTCTCTGATAAACTGGATCTTCGGTCCTCATTGATGGATTCCATCGACAATAAAGTCCTTTCCATAATCGTATGTGACGCATACTAGCAATTGGCTTAAGAACAGTTTGAGTTTGAGATGAATTAACAAACCCTCCATAAAGTGGATTCCTATAAAGATCTAATGATGCATTAATCCATGACCATAACGAGACTGTATTTCTTTTAACTTCATGAACTCTTTCCCTCTCTGTATTGCATAGGAACGTTCCAAAACGACAGGAATAAAGATGATCAAGGATTGTTATCAGGAAGTGCTCATTAAATTCCATAGCCATTGGCAATTGTCTGCTTATTTGCCATACACAGTCAATGAATTGTATAAAAACTGGCGAGCGATCAGCATCTGAATGATTAATGTCTCCATGTCCATATCTTTGCTGAAATTTATGTCCAAAACTTAACCATTCTTTCTCTATTAACACTTCAAAACCTTTGATTGTACGATAATATGGATCTAACATTAGCATAGCTAAAGCTGTCAACTGTGCAGTTCTATCCCAACCATCACTGCAATGAACAACGACTGAATTCTTCAAGTTCTCAATGCGATCAACAATGCGAATTGATCCAGTCAAGATACATTTAATATGTTTAAGCCACATTGTGTTGTCAACAGCTGATAGCCACTTCGGATCATCAGTTGCTGGAAAGCATATTTCCTTTAATTTTCTCAAACTCTCTCGCATGACGTGGATATTGTGGATGTCAAGAAAAATTAACTCAACATTCTGATAAGCATCCTCTGACTCATATCCGCCGCCTTTTGCTCGATTTGCAACTGCATTTGATGATGGACGAGCATCAGTGATAGTCAATTTATGCGACAGTGCATTTGTGTCCATAATAGCATTAATATAGCTTTCATCTTCGGATGATTTCTTTCCAGACACTCCACAAAGTGGCTGACTACAACGAGTTATTGTTGCAAATGATTGTGGATGAATCCAAGATAAAACTGGCAAACGATTTCGTGAACGGAAGTTAGCAACAGCTCTTAGATCTTCGTCTGTAATGGCTCTTGGAACTGCCAATACTGCTGGATAACTTTCACATAATTCATAAACTTGATTGATTTTTGTGATTCTCCATTCAATGTTGGCATTTGTGCCCTAAAAAATAAGATCCAGTTAAGTTAAATATGCTGGTAAATAATAGACTAGCTACTTACTAATCCCATTCGACGAAATTCAGCAATTGGCTCATAAATTGTCCATCCATCCTCAGCAAAAATCTCTGAATAACAAAAGGCAAAGAGTTTAATGTTGTGGGCGAGTGGAAATGCGAATTTTTGGAGCTTCTCAAAGACAGTCCTCCTCGAATGATTTTCTTGCTTGTGTGCAAAGCGTAAATTTCTCATATCCTTGCATAATATATCGATTCCGTACGAGTTTTCACCTCTGGAACTAGCACCGCCGACTTTTTCTATTCTCGAAACAACGCCTGTAAATTGAACAAGAAGAGTTTAGGCTTGAAATCATATAGAACTGCTTCTTTTTACAAACCCAATGGAACATCCAGAATTTGACTTTGAGCTTCTTTTTCTGTTGGATATGACTTGAAAAACAAGCGGTAATTTGTTATGATGAGAACACCTCTTGTTGGTCCATAAAATGGACAGATGTAAGTTACTTCATTCTTCTCTTGGAAGGTTTCATTGGGCAAAAATGTAAATTCTTTTGAATACTGAAAATTATGAGAAAATTAGTAAAATTCTTGTTAGATTGACTTTATAAACCTTAATTACACTAGAATCGTTGTTCAAGGAATCTGTTGATCCTGATCTTTTCGAGTTTATATCATTATTAATCATGCTTTTCTAATTTTTATTTATTTCTTGATTTATTTACTATTTCTAACTAGAGCGGTGTGTCTTGTCAAGCATGACGGGAAATAATCATAAGTTGGGTTTAATATTGGTTTTCCGGTGATTATTCTATAGCTTCTTATGTATATAATTGCGGTTCTGAATCTCTATTTCCGATACTATTAGGAATTAACGAATGTAAATTAACAGCTAGACAAATGAAGAAATGTATAAGACTTAGAACAATCCAGAGTCAATCATTTTTGAATTTAAAGGAAATTTTAGATGCAATTTGAATTTTATGAAACCGTTAAAAAATTTGAAAACTCTTAAATGCTGTTAAATTATAATAATAATTTCTTATTAAGTAGACTTTTAATCAGAACAAAATTCAGGATTTTTAAGACACTATTGGCTATATTAAAAAATTAGAAATCTTACTGTTATCGGATAGATTTAACAGATTAACGACTGCTATCGTTACCTTTTCAAGCTGTCTCAACCCAATCTCTGATTACGTCCCTCCTAACCTCTAAGAGATCTTAAAAGATAGATAGACTTATGTAAGTCACTTAATAGACCATATGAAGCATGAATAAATCAACGCATCAAGTTATAACATAAAACAGACCACCACAATTACTTTAAGATTCCATCTAAATTTCACAGATGTCGCTCCTTTGCATATACACAAGAATTCCTTTTGTTTCAAATTCACGTACATCCAAAGTGCACGCAAAGAATTTAGTCAGTCTTGTCACCCTATGTAATGTTTATAATTCAAACAAAAAACCTAATTGTGTCGTAAAAATCCGAAAGTTGTATTAAATTAATCAGTTCCAAGTGAATTAACATCTTCTTAAGTATTAATTGTGAATAAAAAGTTTGATTTTATGGTCGATTTAGCATTAATTTGAGTTGAAAAAGCCCAAAATGAACATCAAACTTACATTCTCGCTTTTTATCGTATTTTGTAAGAATTTCTTATCATAAAATAATTTTCATGTACCTCAACATGCTGATGTCTTGTTCCTTGATATCATTTTAGATATTGCGACATGTCACAACAATGTAGAAGCATTTGGTGGTGGTAAATCATTGGGTGGAGCAAGTCGAGGATATAATGGTGGTTCACAAAAGTCAAGAACGGGAAATCATCCATATCCATTAGCTGGTGTAGGCAACGAGTATGATAGAATGAATTACAATAAGAAATCCAAAGAAGCAACAACACAACCAAAGTCATCGGGCAGAAACATTTCGACACCACAAATTGTATTTATTTTAACAATGATCATGACCTTGGGATTTGCAGGATATTACTTTATTCAATTCTACCCATTCCTATGCTCAAAAGAGTCCAAGTATGACGTTATGAGCCGATCATCAGTCACTCCTACACACTCGCGAGAATTTGAGTACGACGAGTCCACATCAAGTGGTACAAAATCAACTAATGCATCATATAGTAACGAACATGATGTTTAAGTGCTCTGGATTCTCTTAATTCTACTTTTACAATTCGATGAAATTCAAGACTGACAAAAAAAAATTATGAACTTATATTTTTGGAAAACATTTATCTACTCGAAATTTATGTGGCATTTATACGAAAAAAGAAAAAAAAACATAATTAACAATGAATTTATACTGGGAAAGTAATAGGGTCGTTTATAAGTGATGTTAAATTTTTAAGTGGGTGAGGAGTTACTTCGATCTTAAGATCAGTGCTACTCATACTATGTATAGCTATGCTTTTCAACAAACTATTGCAGGTTTTCAAGCTTTTTCGTTTGCAGCTTCAAACTTTTCGAGCATAGCTTGTTGTGTTTTATGTTGCGAATTAAAGCTAGAATCACTGTCACCAAAATCATCTAATATTGTAAAACGCAGCATTTACAGACACGTCTAGTGTTGCAGATCATCATTTATAGATAGCTAAATTTTAAACACTTCCCTAAAAGTTTAACATCATTTATGAATAAACCCTCAAATATGAGATTTTGAATTTTTTAAGCATAATTGTAAGAGAATCTCACAAAAATGACATATCATGTTTCAATCATTTTGCCTATAGCATGTTTGCCATAAAAAGACAATCTCCATTTTTATATTAATATGTATGCTCAAACTACTTGAAAGTTGCAGCTCTGTGGCAACTAACTGTTCAATATTATTCAGACGAAATAGAACAGACAAATGCGCACATTGCTTGCTGTATTTTTATATAGACATTAAATCTTTTTGACCTAATCAATTTTGACTTCCTGAATACCTTTTTTAAGATTAGAAAAAATGGACATGATGTATTTTTCTATTTAGAATAATTTTTATATCTTATTGACGTAAATAAAATTTTTGATACCTGAATAAGTTTGATGGATTTTATTTCTTGATTCCAATGATTCTGTTTCTATAACTTAATGCAAAGAGAATGTGTGGTTAAAAACTACGAATATGAACGAAGTCACACTTTGCTAATTTAATATTCTGTTCTATACGAGTAACAGATTCAAATGAGAGGTCATCTCTGTCACAATACTCAACAGTTTTAAGAGACGTCATGCTTATAATACTTTCCGTTAGTTTAGGATCGATAATATTGAGCTTTAGCTTTTGTAAATTTCTCAACTTTGGCAAGATTGCGACAATATTGTCAGTTTCACCATTGAAAATAAATCCATAATATCCAAATGTAGTGATGCTGTCATTATGTGGATATGCCAGATTCTCAATATACATTAATTGATCCATTTCATCTACGTCAAATGCTTCATTTCGCACAATTAGTGTTTCTAATTTTGGAAATTGTTCCATGAATAATGCAATTTGTTTAAAACTCATGTTAAGATCAATAAACTTCAGGTACGACCGTTGAGTGACGAAGAACTCAAAATATGCAGGAATCCATTCCAAACTTTCATTATAGTTTAGAATAAATTCTTCAAGTTTAAATTTTTTAGATTTTAAACCATCAAGCAAGTAAGGATCACTTATATTTAAAACTTTTAAATTGTGAAGGTTTGCAATCTTCTGTTGCAAAACTTTTATAGATGTCTTGCATAGATCAGTGCAGTCTATTTTTAATTTCTTCACACATTTTGCTTTTGCTGTTAATCCAAGTTTTTCGATGCAATATTGATGCTGATAGTAATAATTACAACATATCATTAGTTCTTTCAATTTTGGTAGCTCAGAAGTGCGCACGATATCAACGTGAGATCTTAATGTGATCAATGATCCAGCGAATTTGTTAACAATGGATCGAAGATTTCTTATCAATTTTGTGTCACGTTTGCAGCTATAATTTCGAAAATCTAAATGCTGATATAGTCGTTCACTAGCTAAGATATACTTGGTCTCTGGATTGTCTTCTAAAAATGCATGATAGATTGCAATTTTGTTCATACATTCTTTTGATCTTCCAGTAATTCGATACCAATGTTTTGAGACTAATGATGCTTGCATGATGTCATCCTTTTTTAAATTACTGAAGATTATCTCACATACTTCTTCTGGAAGTATCTTTAAAGGATCTTCCATAGCTTGATTTTCTGAATTGATTTTTTTTTTGTCAAGATAAGCAGTTAAAATCGTGATTTTAAAGTTTCATTCATTGTCTATCTAAATATTAAGCATTTACTTACATGATGATCCTCTCAGTATCCTTTAAAAGTGGTTAATTACAGTAGAAAATGATTAATATTAAAATTAATTCACAAAATGCTTTTTTTTGCGCGAAAATTCCACAAATTTTTCAAATAAAAATGAGCCGTTGATTATTCAAATAAAATTAAACCGTTGAAAATTCAAAAAAGGTATTATGAGTAAGGTATTAAAATTAAGGTAATTCTTTTATTTTTCACATTTTGTTGGGAGCACAGAAATAAATCACTAAAAATCAGGACTTTTTATTACTTAAGGAAAGACTTGCAGTACAAAAACAATAAGAATTTAATATAAATTAACTTAAAGCTCATCTTTGATATCATCTAATTCAACATCTGAAAGATCAATGTCTTCTTCTTGAATTGGCTCAGCATCCTTGCCATCCCATGGTGTAATTGTATTAATATTTGGCCATTGTGCTCCTTTAACAGGTGCTGTATTTCCTCGTCCGAACGAGAGATCACGTAAAAATTCATAAATTCCATCCTTTGAGAATGCACCACGTAAGATTGAGTATTTCATCTTTTTGTAATTGACGGCAGCCATTGCAGGATATCCAAAACCACCAATGTCAAGAGCATCTTCAACAGCAAGTTGTGAACCACCTTCAGCCCATAACCATCCCCATTGTTTCTGCTTAAATTTATCAGCTTGCTCGGCAAGCATCTTAATATATCCATTTCTACAATCAGCCTGACAATCATAAATATTTGGAAGAATTGAAACGACACATAATGGCTTATTTTCGCATGCTTTCTTTGCTGCATCTTCTGATGTCAATTCATAAACTTCTGGTGCTGGAATGTTTTCAACAAATCGACTCAAAGCCCATTCAACAATTCCACTTGATTGACGTCCTCCATCGTATTCCTCAGCTGATGATCTGTCTTTTTTGCCTGCTGGGAAGTATTTGATTGTTGGATATCCTTGAACTCCAAATTCTTGTGCTGTTGATGTGTGAACGGTTGCATCAAGTTGACCCAACTTGAATTTTCCTTTAAGTTCTCTGGCTGCTCTGGCATATTCGGGCTTCAAATTCTTGCAATGTCTAGAAAATAAATAGTAAAGTATGGGATTCATATTAGGCATGAATAATTAAATTAAAAATGTATAATGTCATTGATGTCTGATTGTAAGGAACATGATTGTGTCAAACAAACTTCTTGACCTTGTAAGCTATTGAGCTATTAAGTACCAAAAACCGCTATAAACCATTATATTTAACAGAAATGAATAAAAGAAGTCAATAGACTCGAATGTTTGTCTAAACGGAATCTCCAAATTTTGAATAAACAACGAAAAGAGATGACGATTAATGACAATCTCTAAAATTTTGTGGTACATGCTTAGATTGAATAATAAGACATGATCATCGTGTATGCACAAATGTTAAATATTACGTGGTTAGCCTTCAAACAACAACCCACGATTAATCACATTCATTAGCTCTAAAAAGACCACGTAGCTCTTTCTGTTTGATTCTATGCTTTACAAATCTGTTGTAATGTATTATAAGATTAACGGTCTTTGATGATTTGAATTTTAGCAAAAAGTTTGGATATATAATTCAAATATAAAACAACCGTTGAAGTCAGCACTTTTGTTCCTTACAATTAAGCTTAATTAAACCAGATTGGAAGCAAACTTACCCACACCAAGGAGCTACCATAGCCACCAACCAAGGTTCATCGCTGTCGAGAACTAATTTCTTAAAGTTTGAGTCTGTAAGTTCTACAACTTCGTCACCACCCGAGCTCTTATCACTTCCACTTGATTTTCCTGATGATTTGCCATCTAATTGATCCTTGACCTTTTTCTTTGCTGCAACTAAACCTGCTTCTGCGATTCCTTTAGCTGTTCTTTCGCCTTGATATGCTGTTGAGTCCTTTCCTGTGAATATCTTGATTGTGGGGAATCCTTGAACGCCATACTTTGCAGCCAAATCTTTGTGTTCGTCACAGTCAACAGCACCGACTTTAACAACTCCTTTTAATGCTTTAGCTGCTTTCTTGTAATCAGGAGCTAGACTCTTACAATGTCCACACCAATTAGCAAAGAATTCAACCTGTAATTACACAAATATTGTAACTTAAACACATTCTGGATGTTTCCAAAGTTTCTTATCACTTACAATCCACACATTATCGCTATCTGTGACAAGTCTATCGAAATTTGTTGAGGAAAGTTGGACAACATCATCACTGCTATCATATAATGCAGAGGTAATGTTAATTAATACAAATAGGAGACCTTTTAATAAACAAAACAGATTAAAATATTAATTAATGTTTTGCCGGAATTTTTGAATCACAAAACTTACCGAAAAACTTTAAACTTATCATCTTAAATGACTTATTTTCTAAACAATTTAATAAACTATGTGACTGTCTTATTTTGTGCTTGTTTCTTCCTTAAATAGTAATGAAATGATGAGATATCCACAAAATTGTGTATTTAAGAAGTAAGTCTTTTAAAATTGATGATGAAACGAGCTCTGATTGGCTGGCTGATTGTGTGTTCAGAAATTCAAAAATAGTCATCAACCGTTACTATTAGACTTAATTCAAATATTTTTCGACAGTTGTTTAAAATTTGAAAGGTAAAAATGCTTTTATCTCGCTCAATGCTTAATATTTTTAAATCAAATTTATGCAGTTTGATTCTGGTAATATGTTATACTCATGCTGCAAGTTGTAAATTGATTGGCGATGACTTTTCTAAGTGGGTACGAAGCTGTCTGTTTTAAAAATTTGAATTTTTATTTAACGGTGTTTATTTGTTTTTGTCATTTTTCGTGATTTCTTTGATTTCAATTGAAATCATATTTTCTTAAGTCAAGGATTATTCATTCTAATGATAATGCATAAGATAAGAAAGGTGGCAATGCTGTGATAAACTTTAATTTCAATTTTTAATAGTAATCATGACAAAATGCATTCTGATTGGTTGAAAATGCAGCAATTTTCCACGCACATATTATAATCTAAGTTATAGGAAGTAAATATCACCTTATTCACAGATGTAATACTTTATTCAATAATTTTATAACAGATTAAGTCACTTTGTTGCAAAATTGTTTAACATTCAATAATAATCAAGCTGTATCCACGTGGTTTTCAAAAAATAACGATCGAAGCACGTGAATGTAAAAATGTCAAATACATTGTAGTGAAAAATAAGCAATGATTCAGCAGTTTCTATCTCGAATCAACTAAAATAATCAACATATTCATTAAAAGCGCTAAAAGCAGCATTCGAAACATCCACAAAATTAATGTCACCACGAAAATCAATAATTAATTTGTCATACAAAAAACCAATAGATGGATATCCACTAATTCTATATAGTCTATAACAAACTTCTTTTTCCTTCAAACAATCGACAGCACCAACAAAGAAATGATAATTCAATCGTCTTGCAATTCTGCTAAACTCTTGATCTATGCTGATTGAATGCCGACATCGAGATGAGTAGAACATAACCACCCACATGTTGCTTGACTTGACGACAAGATCATCGAAATTTTTTGATGTCAGTAATGCAATATTTTCATCACTTTCGTAAAGTGAAGCTGATGGATGAACAAGAAGTGCTACGATTATAAAAACTACACAAAAAATTATTAGATATTTACACCTCAGAATTCTCAACTTACTCAATCTTCTCATATTTACAACTGATTGAATATTTTATAAAATAGTTTGTTATTTTTGTTGAGACAATGCGGATTTCCATTTTCAATAGCGTCAGCATAATTCTGATTTGTGATAGGAAGTAGGTGAAAATATGATTTAAAAGTAAGTGAAGCTTTGTGTTGTTCGAGACGCATTTTTATCTATGATTGATTTTTTCATGTGACAATGACTAGTGAACGTCTTATTCCAAGATAATAAAGTGTTGTTCTAGTAGCATCTTAGCTTAAAGTCGTAAACTAAGCTTGAAATAGTTGAATTTTCTGCAATTGAGCAACTTTGAACTTTTGCCAAGTCAAGTAGTCAAGAAATTCTCAAGAGGGGGGGGGGGGGGGTGGGGGTGGGGGGTATTAATTTGATTAATCTGATAAAAAGGGGTTCAAATAGGTTCAACTATAAAAATCTTTAGACACTTCCAAGTCTGAACTATATCTTCCATTCAGACATTTTATCAACAACTTAGCAGCGATGAATTCATCAAAACATTTGACATCATTTAGCGATTACGACTTAAAATCAAAGCTCTAAAATTATTGTAGTGATAATATGCAATTTTCCTATAATTACACATGAATCAGCAGAATGTAAAGTGATAACAAATTTTTTTTTTATTATTTATTTATTTTCATTAAAACAAAGAAAAAACGTGCGCGACTTTTGATTCTACAGAATTAACTCACGTGACTTTCTATTAATTAATCGAGTAGTGTAACCTTGAAATAATTACACAACATCCAATAAAATGTAAATTATTTTTAAATTTTATCACATAATCGTGTCACGTTTCCCACGTTTGTAAAGATAGTGCTGGAAATAACATTATTTACATCTCTAAAATTGTTATTAATCTATTTACTTAAAACAGCTATTAGTAATCTATAGCGTGAAATTATTTTCTCATCGTTATGAAAGCGATTTTCTGTGATTTCGCCGACAAGCTTCACATAGTCATCGATAAAGTTTTGTTGTAGTTTTTGCGGCATTCGCTTGGTGAATGGATTGACTGATTTGAGAGCTTCTGTAATTAAAAATTATTAGTGAAAATCAGTAGAGATGACTTAGAAAGTTTAGTGGATATTGTCGAAATTTTTAAGTTGTTTATCTGTGAGACGTAGTTTCGAAAGAGCTGTGAGATGAACTACGGAGTTACTAATTGGGAAATAATAACTGTTTGTGATGAATTTCTTTAAATTCGTGAGATTGCTATTAAAGTTATGGCTTAATAATTTGTTATGACCTAAATCTAGGTGCTAAGCTATTATGACAGGACTAGATGTCAAGTCAAGATGCAAGGTAGGAACACTGGAGAGCTCTGAAATCAACCCATGTCTGGCCAATGTTCCCAATCTCTTGACTCAACAAAGAGCTACTCTTGGAGAAGACCATAAGAATAAGGTAATGGAGGGTTTCAACATCTTTAAGAATCAAATTAATCTTGGTACCTTTTAACTGCTGTTCATCTCGATAGAAGTAAATCTTCTCTCGAATCTCCATATGATTGATTATAAAGCCAGCATTTTTACAATACTTCCTAACCATCTCAAGTGGCTGTTCTTCATGATGATATGGTGATATGAATTGTTTAACATCCTTCATATATTCCCTATACTTCTTAAATTTCGATAGCCGCTCATAAATATCAAAAAGTGGAGTTTCTATCAAGAAATTAATTATCGCAACGCCATTAGGTCTGAGAAGTTTATGAATGTTGGCGAACGTCTGTCTAGAATAGAAAATGATAATAAATATTTCGAGAATTGTCAAATGCACGTGCGGCGACCACTACGTGTCTTGAGATGCAATTAATATTCTGCATTCACATACTTTTGATTCTGAATCCAATGAAGACAGTAAAATGATGTTATGTTGTCAAATTCCTCATTGCCAAAATTTTGACAACATGAAATACTTGAAATGTCTGCTTGATGGAATTCCATCGATTCACTTCCGAAATTTTCTCTTGCACATTCAAGAATTTTTTGAGAAATGTCGATGCCGATAATTTTTTGAATATTTTTAGGTACTTCCGGCAGCACAAAATCATATAAAACATCTCCAGTTCCACAACCAATATCTAACATCTTATCCATTCCGTCGTATTTCCATTTAAAATGATGTGAAAATTCATCGATCACTTCCTTTGAATCGCGACGCTGAACGTCATTATTTCTTAAATATAAATCACCGTTGTTCATTGTATAAATTCAGACTGAGACTCAAAGCTAACGAGCATGACTATTTATCATTATTTTCAAGTTCCAGTGAGTCTAAGTTGAGATATTTTTTGTAATTGTTTTGATGAGAGTTTTCATGCAAATGAATTTTTGTTTATTTTACTTTGACTGACTGATTCTAGCTGTTTTAAGTAGGTTTTCATGAAAGAAACTTGAGATTTCAATCATGATCAAGATCAGAGCACGATTAGTTTCCAGTTGACAAAATTAAAATTGATTTATTTATGAGAGACTATGATAAAGTCACAAAAAATGTTTCAGGTCGTTTAAAGGGTTAATATAACAAGCATCTGGTTCTTTTTTAGGCCCTAAATCAGTGTTGTCCAATGTATTTGAGCCACGGCACACCTGAGGGGTAAGCCATGACTGAAGTCGCACACAGCATCCGGCTCGTGACAGTTTCAAAAGAGTCTACGGCACACAGTTTGGTCAACACTGCCCTGAACCATTCAGACAGTTATTTTGATCGAATTATTATAAACTTCCTTCCTTCTTTTGCTTTATTAATTTACTACACAATAAAAATGCACTTTAAATACAACTGAATAGAACTTTACATACCTGATTATTTTACTATAAAAATTTCTACGAGAACATGTGAGATGCTAATCAGCATACGATTTGTGAATGAAATTCTATCTGTTATTTAATAGTAATTCAGAAAAAAAACGTGATCAAAATCTATTTATTGTGGTCAATTGAATACATTTTATTTGCATGCTAATTACTTACGCAATGTACAGGCGGGTTTTACACTTTGGGTATCGTTGATTGATTTTAATCGAGATTGTCAATATTTTATTAATTTATAGCTGTAAGACAGAATTTAATGAGTGAATGTTCAATGCGCAATAAAAAAATATAGTAAAAGTTGAGCTTTTCTGATGAAATTGCTGATTTATTTTACATGTTCATGTTTTTCTAGGACAGGGAAATTTATTTATATGTCTAGAATTTAGAGTAAACAACTTTTAATACATTAAAGAATTTCCAAATAATATTTTTAGTCTACCCGTTAATGTTATGGAGTCATTCACAAATGACGTTAATTAATGATGAATTTTTTAAATTCCTTGGACATGTTCTTTCTCGTCAACATATACAATCTCTGAATAACACATCTACAGACCCTTTGCATATCCTAAGTATCAGCAGCAAAGGTTTAATCAAAGGTACGTAACTGATTAACTGACTTTTGACTTTTTTTGTTCATATTTAATCAGAGCTGCACTTAATTGAGACTCTATGGCCTATTGTTTCTATAGTTCACTGCTCTACTGAATCCTAGACGTCATTTGTAAACAAACTTATTAAAGTCACATTATTCACTTGCTCAAGACAGTAACCATGAGTTTGTAAGGCGTGTATACATTCTTCTTTAATGTCTCTTCATTAAATCTTATCAAATTAAGATCATCAACTTTCTTCACGTAGTCACTGAGGAATTCATTCTGCAGGCTATCAGGCATTCTTGATGTGAAAGGATTGACAGCTTTTACGGAATCTATAGACATGTTGGAATTTAATTATTGAATTGATTCTACATACAAGTACTTACATTTCAAGATCTCGACATTATCATAAATGAATATTTGATCCCTGATTTCAATATGTGATATTTTGAAGCCGACATGTGTGACTGTCGATTCAAAGACATCCAATGGTTTCTCCTCATAGTGATATGGACTTATGAATTTTTCCACGTCAGTCATATATCTTGAATATTTCTTCATTCTTGATAGATGTGTATAGACATCATAAATAGGATTTGATATGAGAAATATTAACAAGCATGTTCCATTCGGTTTCAATAATTTGTAGATATTTGATAGGGCTTGTCTATTTGAGAATAAATTGGAAGTGAACATTTTGAGGTTGTTTTGTAGTCACACAGAATTTTCTTACCTTTGATTCTGAATCCAATGAAGAGCATAGAAGGAGGTGATGAAATTGAAGCTGTTTGGTATCATGGGAGTCAATTTACAATCGCCTTCCAAAAAGTCACTTTCAATGTCCACTTTATGGAATTTCAAATACTCCTCATTACCATAATTCTCATTTGCGTATTTTATCATCTCTTTGGATATGTCAATGCCAATAACTTTTGTATTAATTGGAATTTTTGGTAATAAGAGCTCGACAAGAACATCACCAGCACCACAACCTATATCCAATAATGAGTCTGATCCATCCCAATGCCAATTAAAAAGATTTGAGAATTCTTCAATTATTTCTTTTGCATCTCGACGCTGAAGAACGTTTGACTTTTTGTATAAATTTGCGTTATTCATCTCGACTTGCTTTAATATTTCCTCCAGCAATAACTTAACTTTTCAGCTTTGTGCACAAAATCAGACTGTTTAAATGTCCCCAAAATGACTCGAAATATATATACTTATGTGCTTTACAATGTGGAAATCAGAAATGGAACTAAGTGACTACGTGATGAATACATTTTTCAAGTCTTCTTTCTTTCTAAATTTAACACAGGAAAAATGATAAAAAATCATTTTAGGAAGAAGATTTTTCAAATAATCTTTGTTGTCAAGAAAAGTTGGAGATCATTTGCAGTTTGGTTGCGTTTGTTAAGATTGATTGTTGCTTTAGAGTAAATCGCACTAGTTGCATCTATAGAATCTCTTTGTTGAAGCTCCAAAAGCTAAAGATATGGAACAATCATGAAATAATGTTTAATGAAGCTTCACAAAAAGAGCATATTCAAATATTCAGAAATAAATTTATTACAAAGATCTTTTCTTGCAACTTAATCTTCACCTAAGAACCTTACATAAAGAAACGATTAAAAAGCATGTTCAGCAGTTCGTTTTTGCGCAAACCATGTGCTATGTATGTTAGTGAACATGGTAACAGTAAGTAAAATACATAAAACACATGAACTAGGTTCAAATAGTAAATGCGCACTGTTCATTTATCAAATTCCACTACTTTTCGAAATGACAACAATGACTCAAGTGACGTCCAACAACGAAACATCTGAAAATTTTTTGAATGAAATTCGACACCTCTTTTGTCATTTTTTTGTGTGAAGATCAACATTTATCCAGCAGTTGATCTGACAATGAACTTTATCTTTTGTGAAAAATGAATTTGTTGCTCTGTAAAAATCCTAAACATTTTAAAAATAAACTTTTCTCGATTTTCATGAATAGATAGAGGTTCATTTGTGTTTAGAAGTATTAATGAGAATTCAACTCAAATTATTTTTAAAATTTTCTGTTCTGAATGAAAATTAAATTTGTTTTGGAATCAAACGTTATAAGTTCATAGTTTAGTCTGTAGTGTTGGTTTTGATATATCAGAAAAAATTGAAAAATCGCCTTTATTTGTAACAGATCTACACACAACTAAGGTGAAAAATTTACCTTTTTATAATCAATACCCAAAATGTAGGTTTGGTATCCTTAAATAAAAACCAATTAGCTTAATTAATTGCTATTGATTGCTAGTTTTGGTAATTAAAAATTATTATTCAATTGAAATGTTTATATTCATTAATTGTCATTTTCTATTCAAACTTTAACTAAATGAAGCATTTTACTGCTCAAAATATTTTTGATTCAAACAAATTTTGCTTTTTTATTGGAAAATTAATAAGTTTTCATTTTGTCACATACACGACATCAAAAAATGGATTATTTGAGTTTTCAACATCAAAATGGGATTTTTGTAGATTTTTCTTGTCTATGATTGTTTATTTGTGGGTAGGTTATGACACAATGATGACAAAATTAATCAAAACAAGCAGATCAATGGTTTTTGATATTGGAACATACTTGAATGCAGTGATTGTTACTCTTCATCCATGTATTTCAATATTTTCATTCTATTTGTTTCGTGCTGAATATATTAACATTCTTAAGAATATTCACTGGATTGACAAAAAGGTGAAACTATAATTTTAACTACTATAGATTAATAAAACTCAATAATAATAATAATAATAATAATAAATGATAAAAAAAATGCTAATATAATACTTGCTGCTTTTCCTTATAGCTGGCGCTTGACGGAGTTTTTCGTAATTTCAACTCAGATTTTAAACGCTTAACAGGAATTTTAACGTTCTTTGTTTTGATTATGATTATCGAAATTTGTGGATCATTATTTATGATTAGGAATTTCGACATTCGCTTCTACTCAATGCCATTAGAGAACGCTTTCTTTTTACTTACACTTGCCATTCCAATAGGCTTCAATATTCTAATTGTAATTTTATTGTTCAACTTGTTTGATCGATTTTATTCAATTATAAATTTGACAATACTGTCAAACTTAAGGCTGATAAATGAGCAAATGTTAAGGCATAGAATCACGCTGACTATGAAAATAGTTGATAAAATTAATGACACAGTTTTATCCATCAACAAATGCTACATGATGAATATTTTGATTACATTCTTTAATTTGACACTAGCTTTGATTTTTATAGTATTCTTGATGTATGATGTCGTCGTCCATCAATTAAAAATTGATGATGCAATCATAATAGCGGGAGGGCTCAGTTACGCGTTTTGCATCAGCATTGGCTGCGTAATGATCATTTCTTATTCGTCTACAATAGAAAAACTTCATTACTTAATCCAGAATAATTATGCAGAATTGCATATTAGATTGCGTGATAAGAAAATACATCGATTAGTGCATTTGGGGATGATCCAACTGACACATTTTCGGAAGGATATTTCTTGTGCGTTTTATGACTTTAATTGGAATTGTATTATTTTGATTTTAACATCTGTCTTTAACTATGTCATTGTAATGATTCAGTTTGATGTGATGATATCTAAATGAATAAAGATCTTGTCTTTCTTTCAAAATGTCATTTTTGACTTACATTAGGTGTATGTGAGGTTATGTTGGAATAAAGTAATTGTCTATTCTTCAAACGCTGAAAGAAATAGTTCAAACTCAATAATTGATATCTTAATTTGAACTTGATAATTACTCAAAAATCTGTCACAGAGTATTAAAATGTTTGATTGTTATTCAAAACTTAATATTCATTAAAAATATTTTGTTATCTTAATTTTGATATAAATGTAAGAATACTTGCTTGCATTCATCCAACACCACCCCAAAGTTGATTTCCCAATTTAAAAGAGCAACAGTTTGAATGTTTATTAAGAAATTAAAATTAAAAGAAATTTGAATTTAAAATCAAATTAAATTAGATCTCATTTTCCTTAATCTTTTTCATTGAAATTAGGTTTAAAAGGCAATGAGAACGTCCTCAAATCTATTTCATATTTATACAAGAAAAATTCCATTTTAACAAAAAAATAATGAAAAATTCTAATCGAAAAAAAAATTCATGATGAGAAAAATTTGAATATCAAAGTGAAATGAGAAATGCTTGATATGCCTCTCGCATGACGTTAAAAACATTCTAGAGGAAGGAGTTGAGTTAAACAACATAAAAAACGGTAAAAAAGGGGGAGAGAAGATGAAATGAATACAAAAATATGCATCGTTTATTGCTTACATCTCTTTATTTGCATATTAATTGCAGCTTTTGGATTTTTTTGTTTTCATTTTACTCATTCACAACCCTTTATTGCTTGCGTGTTATGTCTCATTCGATTCTCGTACTCTCATTTCCATACGAACATCCGCACTTCATCAAATTTTATTCGCATTGTGGCCTCTCAACTCTATCAATTTTTATCGAGCTCTTTTCAGTAGGGCGTTGAGCTATTAATGGTGAATTTGCTGGCTGCTTGTATTGATGTCTGATTTGGGTTATCGAACCATTTGTAGTCGAATCTTCAGTGCTATATTAAGGTCTCTAATCTAGATTTGATAAGCAACAGACAAGAAAACAGTTCAACTATCTTGATAGTTCCAAATGCCATCTATATCTAAAGATTTGTGAACCTGGTTATTGAATCATAGATAGAAGTAGAAGAAACAGGTTTATGTCGAAAATCCAACTTCTAAGTGAGTTCTAAGTGCTATTCTCATCAAATTTCAACACAATCAAGCTATAGGATACAAAACTATGCACTCTAGTCATTATCAATTCAGATAGACATCAAAACTTACTTTTTGTTCTTTTCCAAGAATGAAAATGAGATGAGTTAACAGAATGAGAATCCAAAGAGTATAAATATGATCAGGAAATACCGGAAAAATATGCGTGTTATGAAATAAATTTGCATAAATCAAATATCGCAATCGATGAAAAAATTATTGGTAAATATTTTAGCTGTACATTGTTATGCACGACGAGCCTTTTATGTCAACATATTTATTCATCATCACAAAAAATATTCTTTTCGGGAATTTTTCGTTGAAGAGGTCAATTCGGAAGGGTTGTTTACTGCAAAAAATTGTTTTTAAAAGTTACACACATTTGAATGATTTAAAAAAGTTGAATGATGACGACGACGACGATGATGATGTGGCATATATTAAAATAGCAATGCATTCAATTTTATTTATACAGAAATACAATTTATAAACCGTAGCTGACAATGAAAAGCCATTCAACTTATTTTCGACATTAAATGTTGATATTTTTTTCAATTTCCGATTTTGACATTAGGTTGAAAAGAATTTTTTTGTTGTCACCAGAACTGGAATGGGTGAAAAATTGCGATTAGCAATGAATAGTAATGCCTGGCGCTATGACTCAACAGTTTATATGTTTCAACCTTTCTCTTCCTTTTGAAATTCATTTGGTGACAAGTAAGGAAGGTTTGATGTAATGCTAAGTGGAATAAACGCATAATATTGATTAGAAAATCAGGTTTGAAGTTTGAATATCGAGGGAATGTAATTAATAACTTTAGAATTGTATTGACAAACCTGTCATTATGAGAACAAAGCATTTAAATTCAAAATGTTAAACGTAAGGTCTAGAATTGTTATTTCTATCTTTTCTCAAAGTTTGTTGGTTCAATTCTTATCAGAATCCACCTTTTAGTCATTACATGAAGAGCAGAACAAATCTTTCAGTTCTAGGAATTTACAATCTAAAGTTGAGTTCAAAATGATTTGAAATTCTGTCAAATTTCAATTCAATCAACTTCAAAATGTATTCATACAATTTAGAATTAGCTGTCAAAGTGCCATGCTCTAAGAACTCAATTCCAAAAAAGCAAAAAACATCACTAAGGAAAGAAATGAAATTGAGTTTTTCACTCATTCAACCGCACAGAAGTAGGAAAATTTATTCATTTGAAAATATGTGAATTCACAATCCTTTTTGTGTGTACATGTTCAATTCTGTTCATTTCTTCTTTTCTACTTGATTTCTTTTCTGCTTTTCAATATTTTTTTTTTTTTATAAAAGTCACTTTCGTATCATAAATAATCTTCAACAGAATTGAGCAAAAAAAAAGC